AATTTCTCAGTGGAGTAGCACAGTGTCAGGGGCACAGACTCTTTCACGTCTGTCATATGAAGTTCTTTTTGGAACAGTAAAGAACTGACCTTTTTTCAAGTGATCAAACTGGGTGGCGATCCCATCTGTATCACTGTAAAGTCGGAAACTTCAGCTGGTAAAAGGCGCTTGAAAAAGATTGTCAAAAATTAGTTTGATTCTTTGAATCCCGCTTTCTTTTTGGTTATAAAATCTTTTTTTTTGTTTTTTGGTTGCTGCTTTCATCAGTCAGTTGGTGCTAATCAAATGCATGTGTTTCACTGATTGTCCATTTTCTGTTCTGAAGCATTTTGGTGTATTTTCACTCAATATTAAGGAGAAAAGACATCAGCAATTATGTAAAACAATTTGGACAAAATAATAAGACAAAAATCATGAAGTTGAAATACAGGCTTTTGTTAGAGAGCTAAATTTGAGAGTTCCTAACAGTGCATTTAGAAACGTTTGGAGAGACCAAAGTGGATCAGTTAGGTCATAATGCACATCACCGCCTTCTATAAACTAAACACAGCAAACCAGCAAAAACACCTCATAGCAAGAACTGTGTCGGAGAGGTGTTGATGTGGGGCTGCTCTGCGGCCACTGGACCCTGCACTCTTTGAGTCTAGCATGACCTTCTCCATAAAACCAAAGTATCGCAAAGTAAATTTATGAGACCATCTGTCTGTCAGCTAAAACCGGGCTGGAGCTGGGTCATGTAAAGTGACAATGAACCCAAATACAGAATATCTTAAGAAGAAAAAGTGCCAATGATCCAGGGCTCCAATAAAAGTCCAGATCCCAACCTGATGGAAAGCCTGTGGACAAAGCGGTACTGTAAACGGTGTAATGGTGGTGAAAAGGCCCAAAGTTCATCCAATCCAATGTGAGGCACTGAAAATGTCCTAAGGAAGTATTTTAATTTATTTATCTTAAAGTTGTTGTTTTTTGTCTACTACTTCTTCATGTCTGTTTTTTTTTTCTTCTATGTTAAGTCATGCTTTTATTCATTTGAAGTTTTATGTCCTTAAATGAACGACCCGATAAGGACCAGGTCATTATTTGTATTTGGAGAAAAAAAAAAGAATCACTCAGGACAACACATTGACGGTGAATGTGGAATAGTTTTTTTGGGGAGGAGACAGGGTCGGGACTGGTCTTCCTGGACGAAGACAGACATCCAGTAGTAGTCATCCAGTTTATGCAGTTGGGTAAAATAAATCCAGTTCTCTTCAGGACTTTGTCCATTTATGTGTCATTTCGTTTAATCGATGAGGGCTTTGTGACTTTCATTACTTACAGTGTTGTCCAATATCCAAAGATTTAATAAGGAAAGAATCCCTCTGTCCCAATTGAACCCTGTAGGAAGACACTTCAACATGGATAAATGTGAAGTGCCTTGCCCAAGGGCAGCCTAACGACATTTCCGTAAGAACTGGAGACCATTACTCACTTGTGTATTTAAGTCCCAAATATTCCTTGTCTTGAAACGAGCCAGCGTCTCTTAAATCTACAAGCTTAGTCAGTGCTCACATTGGAAGCTGTGACTTAGAGCATACTTCTGGTTTTGTGAGGTATGTCTAACCTTTGATGGTGTTGAGCTTGAAGCTACCACATATGTCCCACCTAAAGGTCTCAGCAGCCTCACGAAAGCTTCTCCTCTCCTTTGTTCCCTTTTGTAATCCCCATGTTAGCGGAGTTAAACAAGCCCTCTGCCTGCTTTTTAAATGGCATCTGCTTCCCATTCTGCTTCCTGAGGTGAAAATTAAACCATCCCGAGTTTCCAGCTGCTGGAAAAAAAACAGTTTCAGTAGCTGTAAATGAATGGAAGAACCAGAGAAACGGGACGGCAAGCGGAGTATTGTGGATAAATGTGAGGGTGTGCAAAGACGAGCAGAGGATGGAGAGGTTGTAGAAGTCTTTCCACGTCCCCAGCGAGCAGTCAGCAAAAGTCAGTTCACGATAAGGTTATTTGAATAACAACATCTCTTCCCGCTGTGGAGAAGGACAGTGGAATAGCAGACTTGGCTGCTGACCCTTGAACGTTAAACTGTTTCTGTGGTTGATTTGTCCTGGTTTGTTTATGTGACCTGAGAAAACCATCACAGTCGCTAACACAGGCTAATAGTTCCTGATATGAGAATCGTAAGTCTCATTACTGGGAGCTCTTTTTTGTTTCTCTGTTCTCTGGTCCGTGTATTATTTTATCTCTGATGTTTGAGCAATAAATTATTTTAAATTAAGAACTATAATCCCAGTAATAAACTTTTTTTTATGACTGCTAATATCCAGTTTTGAAGATTGTTTATTAGAGTGTAGAGTGTGTTAGAGTGTTCAGACATCTCCTTTACTTTCTACACCAAAAATGTTGCATCAAAGGAGTTCACAATTAGCTTCCACTTAGGCACCAACCACAGCCTCCTGAAGGCTGTTTGGAGGATGCATCACCCTGTGCTTAACATGCTGGTAGCAGAACCGCTGCAAACTGCTGTGCTGGTGACATCTAGTGGTAAAATATATCCACTCATTCAGAGCGGGAACTTCCCTCCTTCTCTAAAAAGGTTGCATTGTTTTTCTGTTTCTGATGTAAAAAAGAAGGAATGTCTTCAAAACATGTCTGGAAGGACTTTTCTGAGCAACAAGCTGTTTCACTAACAATTTTGCCCTTTCTTAAAAGTTGGAATGCTGTTCTGTTGTAGAATTAAGTTTTAAACGTGTCAAATTAATCTTTTCTATGACATTTAGCAAAACATGGTAATATTATTACTATCATTATTATAATTATTATTGTATCTTTCTATAAGACTCAAAATCATCACTGGCTCCTGTGTCAACACATAAAGAAAATCAGCTTATATGACCTTACTGGATGTATTCCCCGACAACAGATAGAAGATAGATATTTTTTTAACCTAATTTAATTGAAGTTCATAGCAGCTCTTTTGCATGATTGTAATGACTTTAAGGAGAGACCTTTATGAGGTTGAATCTTTAAAAAGTAGAACCAGACAATAGCGAAGCAGAGGGCCCAAATCTCCCCTTTCCACAGTTTATTTCCTTTTAAAATAATTCATACAAATGCATACAGTCACAAACATATCTTTTTTCGGGTTTTCATTATTTGACCAAAAATAATATTTACTGTAGAATATAGAATATGTATACTGTATATTGCTACGCCTACTACTTTACCATAAAGGGGACCAAAGTAGGTAACAGTGGACTGTGTGTTACTACCAGGGATGGAATTTCAGGGAGCACCTTAACTTTTTAAAAGCTACACTGTCATTTTCACATGTGGCGCCCGTCGGAATTGGAAGGGAGGAATGTTTTACAATTCAGATCAGGAAGAACAAGCAAAAACTCCCCTGCAGCGTGACAGGCATCTGGTGAGGAAAGATGAAGATCGAAGTTTAGAAAATATTCTCAGGATTTTTTGGGTTTGCTTCGGACCTGACGGCACCTTCTGTCCACTTTGCCCCTCTCAGAATTTGGCCAACACGACCCGAGGCCCTGAAATGCTCATGAAAGGCTGGGGAAATTTCCATCCCTGATGGCTACGCTTTTCTACCTCAACAATAAAGAAGACCAGGTAGGCAACAGTAACTGTTTGTACTACTCAGCTGCTGGTCAGAGGGGATCCAGAAACTACTGTCACTCAGCTGGTTCTTCCAGGGAGAAATGGGAGTTTGGGACATTTTACCTTTGATATGATGACGTGTGTAATGTTACCCCATTAAAGTGTAGAAAAACAGTTTTCAGTTGAGGTTTGAGAGCTGTTTTCCCAAAGTGTTGAGATGCTGTGTGGACAGTCCTGGCTTGCACCCCTCCTCCCAGTGCTGCTTTTTTAGACACAGATACAACCAAGTCACATTGACACAGGCAGGCAGAACACCATATGTACACATAGACACAGAGGCCACAGATGGTGGCTAAATGGTATACTCGGGAAGGACCCGGCATGAAATGTTAAACAGATTTTGGTCTGGAGGCATCAGTATGTCCCGCCATGCTATCACCAAATCAGTTTGGTTTCCTCGGATGTAAGGTTTGTTCTTAAAATGTAGTCCCTCTTTTCAGACGATGGTCACATTTATGAGCTGTGTGGTTGTTTTAGGAAGTCTTACATTGTCCATTAACCCCGGGTTTTCCATTTGTAATCAGTAACTTTCTTCACCAGACGTACATGGATTTAAATTGATCTTTTTTTATCTGTTGGGTTATGAAACGTAATTAGAAGATACTGACTCAGTAGTTTGCGGCAGCGTTATGGTATTTTGAACTCTCCATGCACCAAAATCTACACAATTCTCGTGTGCGGCAGCGGAAGCACTCATTAGACACAAAAGAAACACAATGAAATTTCCAAAGGGCAACAAACTCTCAGTGCATCATAAATTAAAGTCACGACAAGGGGGTAAGTTATCCCAGCCAAGCATACCATTTTTCCATTCTCCGAAGCCTTTCTTCCCACAATCTCCTCAGTTTGGGTCGAACATTTACAGATGTCCCAGGAGCAAAATAACATGCTCCACTAAACAAATCCAACAAAAGCAAACATTAGCGCAACCTTGTCTCTTGCCAAAGTTGTTTCTCTAATGTAGCAGGACACAAAAAGGCATGCAGGTAGAGGAACAAAAGCACTAGGCGGTATTAAAAGAGTTTTTATAAAAACAAAAATAAAAAAATCACTAAACCAACTGCGGAAACTTAATTTCCTGAGATGGTGTGCAAAAAGCTGCCTCTTTTTTGGGGGGGCTTGCTAATTTGGGGACACATGAAAAAGGGAAAACAAAGTTGATATTGTCTTCTCAAACCAGCTTGGCTACACGGAGGTCTCCGTTTTTAAACAAATAACAGCATCTGAAACCGAACACAGACAGGTTACATTCATTTCATAACCTAGTGACTTTGGACACACTACAGTCTAAGACAGCAGAATTTGATCCAGGATTTTTTTTCGTTCAAAATCAACTTCTTTTTTTTTTTACTTTTCTTTTTTTGTTTCTTTTTTTTTACTCTGGCAGAGAATGTGAAGATCAACCTGTAATCAGCAGATTAACCTCTGGTTGGGGTTGCGGCGTACTGTTTTTGCTCTTTGATAACAGTTATCCACCTGTCTTCATCATTATCCTCCTCCTCTTACTCTTTGGAGTGGGATGACCTGGCTGTTGGGGAAGTAATTGCCAAAGAGTCGAGAATCCAATCCGAACCTGTCTGATAACAGCTTTCCGTTTGGAAGCCTATCAATGTGACACCCTCTGCCCAGTCGACAGGTGTGGGAGTGGAACCGTGCGGGGGAGGGGGGGGGGCTACAGCTGCTCGTTCGGATGCTGCTCTCTGTCGCCCTCTGGAGGCTTGACTGTGTTCTGTCCGGGGGACGGCGCGTGGGGGGGGTGCGTGACGGCGGGCGGGAGGGCGTGCGCCATGGGGACGGCGCTAGGCACGATACCCTCCACCGGCGGAGGGAGGCCCCCGGCGGGCAGGTTCACCACTCCGGGGGGATACCTGGACAGGACGGGACAGGACAGACCACTGTAACCCGGGGCCGGGGCTGCTTCAGGACGCTAGAAGTACAAGGTGTCGAATAAAACATCACCGACAACAGCATTTGTGTCACATTAATCGTTTGAAGGATTAAGACCAGAGCAGAAGGGGCTGCTCTGGTCTGATTTGAGAGCTTTTTGCTTTAGTTTAATATTTGGGGGCGTTTGTGGCCCGTTGAAAACTTTGTTTTTTGCGGATGCTGTGGACCTCTGAAGTTAATCTCCGCAAACTTCCCAAAGAATTCCTCCGTCTACTCGTCAGTTTTAATTATAGAGTGCTTCCTCTCTTGTCATGTGCAGTTGGAGCTGTCATCGCATATCTGCGCACCAACACACTGTAAATCCAACGGGGCGGCGACGAGCTCTGACAGCTTCATTGTAGAGAGAAATCAAACCACCCCCTAGTTTTTTTGTTTTTTTTTGCCATGTGAGGAAGTCACCTGTACGCGCCGTTGAGTTCAGGGTGGACGGCAGCCGGGTCAACTCCAGTCCAGTGGTTGTTCTGGGTGAGGAACTCTTTGTTTACGCAGTTCTTCAAACTGTCCGGGATGCGGCCTAAAAAACAGATCGACGTTAACGAAAGGACAAGCAAGAGAAGGAAACGATTAGGTCACTTGCGAGAAGACGTGTTTAAGATCCACATCATCAAACTAACCCAACCTTGTCAAATTTGAAAGATTTCTGTTAAGAAGACTGTTAAACACGCTCAGATATACACTCGACTACAAAAGGACTGATGATATATGCTTTCTGGCATGGCTCTCCAGTTTCCGGCGGATTCCCCGGAGGTCACGTGTTCAGTCAGCACATACGTTTCCATGGCGGTGTGTACCAACCTGTCACAGCCCTTCGGATCTCCCTGGCTGCCTCCTCTCTCATCTCCAGGGAAGCCTGCTCGCTGTACCAGGCGGCATGTGGTGTGCAGATCAGATTTGGGGCATCCTTCAGCGGGCCTTGACTGAAGCTGGTGCATGTAGAGCGAAATCAGTGAGAGGCTGACATTTTGGGCCAGTCAGTTGTCAGACTGTCATCCAGTTTTTCACGATGAGAGCAGTAGATATAAGCAGGAATCAATCTTGCGAATGCAGATAGATCCCCATACAATGAATTTATTTTTGGGGAATCAGGCGGTAACACGAGTCGGAATTAAATGCATATTCTTAATTATTTCCAACTAAAGGGAGACCTGAAAATATTTATAGAACATTACAGTTATTGTTTATATATTTCCCCCTGCTTTTTTGGAAATAGGCTACAATTAAAACTGCAAGATAATCAATTTGTCTATATAACATTACTCTTTTATATCTTCATGTATAGTCATATTCTACTGTGATATCTATTTCTGTGAGGCTGAAAGCGTTCCCTTAAAAAGGCACAATGTAATCCACCCCCAGACTAAAGTTACAGCTCTTCTTTCTCACTGGTCTCTGTCTAACAGAGGGAAAGACTTACCTAAAAGGCTCTGTCTCGTGGACATCCAGAGCAGCGCCACGTATCCTCCCCTCCTTCAGGGCCTGAGCCAGGGCCTTCTCGTCCACCAGACCCCCCCTGGCCGTGTTCACCAGGAACGCCCCCTGACGCATCTGTCACACACACACACACACACACACACACACACACACACACACA